CCCACAACGCAGACAGAACCAAGCCATCAAATCGTTAAATTCTATGAAAGAGTTCACTAACTTACTCGATTATTTTTCACATGAAAATACATGGAATCCACCACCAAATATAGAAACTATAATCATTTTAATTCTCGGTGGCCAAGGTTTGCGGAGGCTCAGGGGCTGCTCTCTTAATGCCCACAGGGGTGCCAGCCCCCCTCTGTAACTACGTGTACTCCATGTTAGACTGGACCAAGGGGTACAGGCCGTTGCGGCTACTTGCGGACAACCATATGTACTTCACGTTCATGACACCCTTTGGCGTGTATAATCCGACCCGTGTGCTCATGGCACAGACGGAGGCAGTCGCGTACTGCTAGTTGGTTGTCCACCAAATGTTTGGTGAACTGCTGTTCCAAGGCCAGTTGGCCTGGCTCGATGACTTGCTGGGGTCCGCCAAATCGGTGGACGAGCTGTTCAATATGTTCGACCAAGTCTTGACAATCTGTGCCCAGTTCAGACTCAAGTGAGCCCGAAGAAGTGTCAGTTCGTGCTGGGCGAGGCAGAGTGCTGTGGCAACGTTATTTTGGCCGATGGAATCACGCATTCGCCCAAGCCAAATTCAAGGACTCGTGGATTTGTCGCTGCCGACGACAGCAGACGACGTCCTCCACCAGTTTGTGTGTGCCACCAACTGGATGCATGCGAGCATTCCTGGTTACAACCAGTTGGTTAAACCATTGCGATGTCTGCTTGACGTGGCCACCATGCAGCCGGAAGCGGCAAAAAATAGGCGTTAGTGTCTGTTGCACTCCCTGCCGTGGGATGGTTAACCGATCATCTCAAGTGTTTTAACGATGTGAAACACGCTTGCTGGCGCATTGGTGCCCTTGCCGCACCCGTGAGAAGACATGACGGTCTGCGTGTTCTGACGCCAGTGACCTGTTTTGGGATGCGGTCGCCACACAAGTAACGCAAGCGGACCTGGAATTGCCTCTCGAAAATGAGCGGCACCAGCCGCTTGCGCTCATCAGTGGATCGTTTTCTGGCGTGAGTGCGCGCTGGCCCATCGTCGAGAACGAGGCCTACGCCGTGGTCGAGTTGTTGCAAGAGACTCGACTACATGGTTGTACGCCCGGGTGGTTTCCGTCTGTTTACGGATCACCGTAACCTGGTATACATCGTCAACCCAAGTGGCTCGAACGCCAACACGGCCAAGTACCAGGCCGACAAGCTGCACGATGGTCAATGGTAATGTCGACCTTCCCGTACACCATTGAGTGCGGCTTGGGTGCCGCAAATGTAAGCTGCGACCACCTGAGCCGATGGGGTTCGACTCCGACCGATCAACCAGTCGCGAATGTTCGCAAGTTGATCCATGTGGTGTCGTCTCTGCAACAAGTGGACTTCGAGTGGCCGACAGCCGCTATGATCCGTGGTGTCCAACGTTCAACCATGACGTCGCCGCGACCGCTTAGAGCCTGATGACGTGGTTTTTCGGTTGCATTTATACGTGGGTGTCAGATGGCGGCTATCACTTCAAGAACGAAGTGGTCGAGAAGATGCGGAAGTTGGTAGGTGCCCACCATCACATCACGACAGCCCACAGTCCTTGGGACTGTAGAAGTCGTCAACGGACTAGTGATGCGCGCCATGAAAGCGCTGCTCATCGAAATGAAGTTAAACACGGACGAATGGCCGCATGTGTTGCCCTCGTTCATGGTGCCCTCAACCTCAGCTGGCGGACCGGCTGGTTTACCGGTCTGCCAGCCAAGACCCCGCTGGCAGGATTTGTCCACCCGACGTCCAAGGAAGTTTACGTCGCGGACTGGCTTGACGTGTGACGGATCTCCAAGTGGGGCTTGAAGAAATGCACCGCAACGTCGTGGTGTGAAGCGACAACTTGCGTCAGCAAGCGCGTGGAGGCCGCGATCGAAAATCCCAAGTCAAGTTTGCGGATTTCTCGGTCGGCGATTTTGTGCTTGTCGGATCAGTTGCTAACCGTCCGACAAAATTGGTCCTGCATTGGTGCGGACCCTGCCAAGTGGCCAGAGTCATCACAGACCAGGTCATATAGACTTAGCAGCTGGTGTCACCGTACGAAGTCACGGTCCATCATGCGTACCGCTTGAAGGTGTACCACGAATGTGGTAGAGAGGTTTGAAATCACCAGTTTTGGTCAAGTGACAATCAGTGTAAACTCTAAGCCCAACTCTCCACAACGCAGACAGAACCCTGTTGTCTGCACCGATTTGCACAACCAGCTACCGTGCTCACGACGGTAGACTTCGATGACAAATCCAAAAGTGACTTCATTATCATTCAGGTTATGTACCCATCTACCAGTGAATCACTTCGCTGTAATCCAGGCATCACGGGCAATACGCACACAGTGTACCGAGGGGGGCTCGGTAAGTCCTAAACCGGGCCTAAATAGGATGCACGAGGGACAAATTAGCTGTTCCCTTGGTGAGTCTAAAAGTAGAACTCGACTGAACTCAACTGCACACACCATTGCACGGGTAGTTGATCCGAGGCACGGTTGAGACACTTCCCCCTGCAACAGGTGGCCAAGCGTACGCTCCATGTCGTCAAGCATTTCGCTCACACCGTCTTCATCAAGTCGGCTCGTAGCCCAGCGCCGAAAGAGTACTGGAACGGCTTCGTAGATGGACAGAGCCAGTTCCCAAGATGACACAAGATTATCGAGACCGAGCTACTTGACTTACTTGTCAGGCACCATCACTCAGACAGAGGTCTTGAAGAGCTTCAATGTAGAAACTTTCATTGCCGAATGGAATTTGCGCCTTGAGGTCTTCATCAATGTCTCGGGCGCCTTTGCAGTAAAGCCGGAGACGGCAGGTATGGTGCAAAGACGTTTCGCTTGGCGGCACTAGCTGTTGCACTTCCAAACGATGGTCCGAGAACCACCTTCACAACACGCCATGGTCTTTCCAACGCAATTGTAACTTGCCTGGGTGCTGGAGCTCTCGAGCCACAAGAACAAAATCACCCAAAGAAAGCTGGGGGAACTTAACCGAGCGCTTGCCATTGCGCTGGGTCCTTGCCTTCGCGCACTGTACGTCGACTGTTGCTACTACCGTCTTGTGCATCGCACACAACGCCTCGGCAAGTTCGGTCACATGGCGTGTAGTCTCGGACTTCACCCAATAAACGGTAGTTTATAGGGGTGGACTAATCCAGACAATGGAGGAGTCGCCGGGAGGCCAGTAAGCGCTGTCGTTGGGGCAAATCCTCCCAGACGATCGGGCGGTTGTTGGTTCAATGCCGAATGGACTAGCGGTAATACCATAGGCCACTCCGTGGGTCACAGGCGCATCTCGCTGCACAATGCCTTCATACTCACCGTTGACCACCATGCAATGGAGTCGTACCCGGACGAAATTCTTCAGGCTGGCTTTCAGGTTGGCCAATCAAACATGTCGGCTACCGAGGCAGATGTTGCTTCCACTCGGCGGTGACCAGCCACGCCTGCATGAGCCACCACACATATGTGTACGTGCATGTCCAAGGCATCTTCAGGGATCCCAATCTTCCCCGAGGCCCACAAAAAACATTTCTTCTCGGCGCTCCAAATCGTACATCGTTCACGGTTCGGGGTGATCACGTTGTAATGCCGTAATCGCATTCACCGTCGGCCATACGAACTCCTCGGCGTGTAACGGGGAAACCAATGTCAGTTTCTTTATTCGAGCGCCGCGGTCGGGCCCCGCCAAGCTGCCCCATCTGCTGAGGAGGGAAGCCCACTAATTGTCTTCCCCGGCGACACATTCCACCACATATGGAAATTTTGTCATCGTCAGCGCCCACCACTGAAGCTTGTGGGCCTGATGATGGAGTTCGGTCCCAACGGGTTGAACATGTACACAAGGTTCCGATGGTCGATAAAGAGCCGAAACGCACCAGGAGGTATTTCAATCGTTTGTAGGACTCAACCACCGCAAACGCCTCCTTCTCAACAATCGGCCATCGCTCGCTCGAACCTCGGAAATCGCCACTCAGGAACCCCCACCGCCGCTGATCTATCTCCCCTTCAAACCCGCCCCGCCTCCCCGACGAACCGGCTGTAATAAAAAAAAGGGGGCCAAAAACCGAAAATTCAGTAAAATCGCGCACCAATTCGTGTCGCTGGTCATTTGCAGGCGGACCTGAGTTGCGATTGCCCCCAAAACCTCTCGCTTGCATCGGTGTAGAGGCACGTTATCTTATCAGGGTCCGCGGGACAGAGGCACCATGTGCTATAGCGTCGCTCGAAACAGGCCAAATGATCCTAGGCCCATCCGACTGAATTCAATGCCACTCTTGTCAACGCGGGTTTCTTTCGGGAGTCGGTCGCGATATCAATCAACCTCGTCAACGGGGCAACTAGCTTGGTGTACTGTGGGATGCTCGCACGCACCCTCGTTGCACACAGAAACTGCTGCAAGTCCGTAGCGGTCGACGGTGGCTCGAGCGCGCATTGGCCAGTTCGCTACACCCTGCGAAGAAATTTCTTTCCCACACAAAATCGTCTGAGTCAAACGTGCACCTGCTCGCATGCAACTTCCAGCCGAAGGCGTGGCAGATCCCCAGCACTTGTCGAAGCAACTGCAAAACCTCCTTGGTCGTACCGGCGTATCCCCAGCAGGTCGTCAAGTCATTCGAGGACACCATGCATATGCAAATCGCCGAACAGTTC